TGGATTATTAGGCCTTAATTACACCATATCAGTTTTATTCCCACATTGCTCAGAGCTGTTGCCTGCTGACAGTCACACTAAAAGCAGGGAACTCACTGGAACCACCTCAATGACCCCTAGTGGTTACTTATCCAATCACTTATCAAACTTAAAATCTACGTGCACAGTTTTTACAGAAAAGAGCTGACAGTGACATCAAACTTCACATTTACAAATAAACAGATTATTTATGCCAGCTACACTTGCTGTCTATTTTTTGGATTAGCACCATCAACTTGATGTGATATGCTCTGTGACCACAAAAAAGTCCCCGGCGTTGTGTGTCCATCTAACTGGACTCCTGAAGACACGACAAAAAAAATCACTGATTCATAACCATTTTAAAACTGTTACAGTAAAACCTAAAATTTGCTTTGCATAGAGTGTAGATTTTGGATTTTTACATGCGGGACTTTGCATTTGCATTCTTCTGCATGCCAAAAAGAAGCATTGTAATAATTTGTAATTTACTATTGATTCTATTAAACTGCACCATGATACATTGAACTAGTGATAGTATTATTCCCATCTGAACATTTTTATGGGCAGCACAGACTATTTGGCTTTGAACTAATTCTTTTGTTCACCCCAATCCCCTTTAGCATGAGGCTAAACCTCCATTAAAACAAGGAGGGACAGAGAAATGGACAGATGAAGCATGAAGAGAGATAGTTATGGATGCTGAGAGATAACAAGGAAGGCTGAGTACCCTGCAGGATTAGCAAAAAGGCTGGATAATAGGGAGCAAGTGTGACTGCAGACATAGTATGCTATCAAGTGAGAGTAAAATGAAGCAAGGATTGGAAATGAGCAAATCATATGCTGTAATTTATCCTCTCAGTTCACCAGAGGCCAAAGACGCTTGATTATTTAAGTGGGAAGGCCAAACTCCAGGTAGCCACATGAAGATGACAGGGCCATTTTTTCCACTCTTGAGTCTTCAATGCACCTAACTGGTCAGACTGGTCACTAGTCCTGTACACTGGTCCCAGCTTGGTGCTTTTTCAATGTGCTGTGACTAATCCAGGAGGACTCACACATTTTTTTTGCCCTAATTAAAAGAGGATTAGATGGGACGGAGCTCTAGGACACGCCAACATGCACAGCCACTATCCCTTCACTTTCCTGGGATTATAACCCTTACTGGCTTTGCCTGCATTTTTTGTGCAGGTCACCACCTGAACTCAGCACACAGCTCTGTCACTGAAATGGTTGGTCAGAAGGGGCTTTGTAAGACTAAAGAGGCTTACAAATATAGACTGGTTCAGTAAAGGTAACTGTAGCAATTCCCCAATGGAGGTCTACATATTGTTTATGCACTTCAGATCTCCTTCATCACCAATGTTGTATTTTAAAAGTATAATTATAATATTTAATCTTGATTGCTTTAGCATCATATTTTGTATCATATGTATATGTGCTGTAAAGTGATTTCCATATAAGTGACCTATTTATTTTGAAAATACCAAAATCATAAAATTTGCATCAGACTGAGAACAATTCATGTTAATTTTGCTCTATAGAAAATGAGTAAAACTGAATTGAGAAGCATTTAGGTCTACCTTCTTCTACATTCCCAAATTGACTGTTTATACAAGTGATCTTTTCACCAATAAATAAATCTATGTTGGTTGTACTGTAAAATAAAGTAAACCTGCAGCGTGAGCCCAAGTGGCCAGTAATTCAAGGACTAAGTGAATAAAGAGATAACTCCACTAGCAAGCATGATACTCTCAGTAGATGAAAAAAGGCATGACTAGTTTGTTCCAATGGAAAATTTGCTCTGCAATATACTGTAACTGTTAGGCGGGTAAGAATAGGACCTGCCTTCCAGGCATGCTCATACAGAGTACTGTAACCAGTGGTCCTTAATAATAATGTGAATGTAAGTTTTTAAATAATGACGACAGCAGTACACTAAATAAATAACCTCTCAGGTACCATGCAGCCATGTAAGCGGAACATGTTTGATTTGCACTTTATTGACAGGATTACAGCAGAAAGTTACTATAGAAGGTTATTAATAGAAGCTGCTGTCAGCTGTTAATTAGTCCTGCACTGTGGCCTATAAATGGCCAGCTGAGATTCGCTAGTTTAAAGTGCTGGCTAATTTGTCTGGCAGCTGCTACAGGGATGTGTGCATTATTACCGCTACCCTGTTGGTATCTGATGAAGCCTTTAAAAATGAACCTCTGAAGACCTGACCTCATCATGCTAGTGCCTGCTGTGGGTGTAGGCTGCAATATATTTTCAGGCTGATATGCAGTTTGACTCATCAGTAGAGAGATATATAATGCGGTATTTGTAAAACTAAGTGTGAAATGATTGATTTATGACCCCTAAATCCCAATCCCTTCCCCATCCGGAAACCCCCTGCCCCCTTCCTCCCCCCTTCTGCCTTCCTGTACTTTCACACCTGTATGTGGGAATCACACCAATATCATTATTAGTATGAAACCTATTTATATTAGACAAGAATGATTACTGCTAATGGTTAAACCCATGCTGACTTACAGTCCTTCATACAGTGCCTTGCGAAAGTATTCGGCCCCCTTGAACTTTGCGACCTTTTGCCACATTTCAGGCTTCAAACATAAAGATATAAAACTGTATTTGTTTGATTTGCACTTTATTGACAGGATTACAGCAGAAAGTTACTATAGAAGGTTATTAATAGAAGCTGCTGTCAGCTGTTAATTAGTCCTGCACTGTGGCCTATAAATGGCCAGCTGAGATTCGCTAGTTTAAAGTGCTGGCTAATTTGTCTGGCAGCTGCTACAGGGATGTGTGCATTATTACCGCTACCCTGTTGGTATCTGATGAAGCCTTTAAAAATGAACCTCTGAAGACCTGACCTCATCATGCTAGTGCCTGCTGTGGGTGTAGGCTGCAATATATTTTCAGGCTGATATGCAGTTTGACTCATCAGTAGAGAGATATATAATGCGGTATTTGTAAAACTAAGTGTGAAATGATTGATTTATGACCCCTAAATCCCAATCCCTTCCCCATCCGGAAACCCCCTGCCCCCTTCCTCCCCCCTTCTGCCTTCCTGTACTTTCACACCTGTATGTGGGAATCACACCAATATCATTATTAGTATGAAACCTATTTATATTAGACAAGAATGATTACTGCTAATGGTTAAACCCATGCTGACTTACAGTCCTTCATAGACACACTCAACTAACATCGCTAACAAAAATTGTTCTGCTAAAAGAGGAAGGTGCTGTATGTACATCAGAAAAGCCTTAGCGGAAAACATTTTTTGCCTGTGGGTGTACAAATACATGCTCGTGGGAAATCACTGAAAGTCGTCAGATGACTGTTATATGGAAAGCACCCAAGTTTCATACAGTACAAACATGAAAACATAAATGTCCCTAATGCACTGTCAGTATTCCACCCTTACAGGGAAACGCCCTGGTAATCATTGGTGCACTGTGGAATATTTTTGCTGGATAAGTGTCTTATTCTACACCATCTACAAATTTTATTCATGAAGGATATTTATTCTACAGCATGTAAAACTTTAATTTGTGACAGAATTTATTCTACACCAACTGTGGATGTAATTTGTGAGAGAATTGGTAAGTTTTTGTTAAAGTTAAGCTATGCATGCAGCGTGTGTTTATTAGTTAAAAGGTGTTTATAAAAAGTGTTTCATTATACAAATTCGCTTTAGTCCCAATTTTAATTATTTGATTTGCTTTATTCCTTACACCTATAAATAGTTAGAAAGCAACATTTGTTTGTATTCCAACATGAAACAAAACTAGGGGGGAAACATTCACTTTGCCCTGCACAAAAGCCCTACTTGGGTTTGAAAAGTCAGAAAATCATATGTCCGGATCCCATTGTCAAGATGTGGTGGTGTAACAGGAATCAATCCAGTGGTAAACGAAATCAATAAAACCGTAAATCATACCCCAGAGGTGCGAAAAACTTTTGCTGTGCATATACACGTAAATCAGTCATTCGGTCATTCGGTCATAAATCAGTCATTTCACATTTAGTTTGACAGATGCCACATTATACACTCTCTGTCATTATATCTCTCTGTCAGTCACAGTAGCCATATGCAGTAACCATTCAGACAGCAGTACAACCTAAATATAGGAGAACATTTTTGTTGTTGCAGTCCCTTTTCATTGTTAAGTGTCTCATTTCAAACTGTCATGGAATAAACCTAGCATGAATGCACACTTAAAAGACAGGTGCTGGTCATGAAAAACTGAATGAGGAAAATGACAGCACACTTAAAGCTTATATGATATATTTAGAAATAATAGACATTTCTACTAGTGGGTCAAAATGTCGGCTATTTTTTTTAAATATAATCACGTAAGCTTGCAGTTTTTCTCATTTTTCATTTCAGATGTCCACATTTAATTTGCAGCTTTGCTACTGTATGTTGTGGGAGATACAAGTTGGTGTTCATTAACATAAGACACAATGAAGAGATCAAAAATGGGGACATTTCACAAATCTGACAAAATAATCCTAACTGAGAGTCCACTTAATATCATCTCACTGTCATCAGCAGATGGAATTCAATTGTCATTACCTAGTTTATGGACATCTTAGAAATTTGTCCCACTCTCATCTGTTGTTTTGAAAATTTTAAATGTTTAGTACCAGTTTTTATCCATTTGGTGTCATTATAACAATGCATTATGATGCAAAATATTAGTGAGCATTACAAACAGTGTTGAGAGATTTCATATTACCAATATGGTTCTTTGGTTGGTGATATAAAATGTGATGTTTAGGAAATGTACAGTCTAGCTGGGATGTCTTTAAAAAACAAATAAGCACGGCTAGTCTGGGACATTTGAAAAACAAATATTTTTGCAAGAATTTACTGTTTCTGTGGCAAAAACAGCCCCCCTTTAAACGAACTGTTTACCTCGGTCTGGATATTGACAGGCTGAGAAAACTGCGTGCTGCGTCACAGGCACAGCGCCTACAAGTCAACGCTTAGGGTTTGCAGCAGTTACTAAGCTGCAGGGCAGTCACACGGTCGCTCCAGTAAACACAAGACGATCATTGTTTTCTGTCACCGTTAGACACTTTATTTTGGCGTTAACATGTCTGTCAACGACGAAGGCGTAGTAATGAAAGAAAGCAAGAGACAAGAGCGTCAATCAGGTAGCATCTGTTCACTTTCTAACGTTTAAGGGGTTATGTGATGTTCAGGGCAGTTTGCCCACACAGGAAGCCATTAGCCAGTAATCTAACGTCAGTGAAACAGAACAGAAATGACATGTTATTTTACTTTTCCCTTGATGATACACAGTCCAGAAGGGATGTGGAAAACCTTAGAAATGATTTTACGCAGTGGATTAACCGTCAGCTGTGAATGTGTTTAGCTAAGGTTGGTGTTTATTAGCATGCTCCAGTCTCTGGCTAATAATAGCGTTCAATAAAAGAAGGTAAAAGATATTAGCTTTGACGGGAAACATAACCGGTGCAGATACTATAATCGCGTTTTGACTTGTAACTTAGGCAGCACGGTGACGCGGTGGTTAGCGCTGTTCCCTCACAACAAGCAGGTTCTGGGTTCGAACCCCGGCCAACCTGGGGCCTTTCTGTGCGGAGTTTGCATGTTCTGCCCATATGGAGATAAAATACTATCAAAAATGTTACAAATGCATGTTTAACGTTTTGTCTGTAACAAGCCATTTGTGTGTGTGTGTCATGTTGTTCACACATGCATGCTGTTCACAAACTGCACATAAAACACATTTTACAAATGCTTAAAATCGATTTTTTCGTGTACAGTTCTTTAGAAAGTACGTACACAATGTTACCTACGCATGAATCACCTTCCGCGCACACACGGATTTTTGAGAGTGTTTTTTCACACTCTCAAAAGTCCACAGTCCACAGTCCACGAATGCACGGTGCGTTTTAAGGGCACAAAATTCGTCGGGAGGAATTTGTGCATCATTAAAATAAGCCCTACTGAAAAACTATAAACTCTGCAGGGCGGAACATTAACTTTAGCTTCATAACTTCTAAATTCTAAATATATAAAAATTTAGAACATGCACCACAAACTGCAGGCAAGTGGAATGTTCTCTGTTAAAACGTGTTAGGTATTAGATATTTTTGTTTAGTTTATGTAATGTCCATTTGGAATAGCGTTGTGTAAATACTTTTGTTTGGCAAACAGGTTTGGAAACTCAGATGTCCGAGTTTTCTACGTGCCCTTAAACGCACCGTGCATTCGTGGATTGCGGACTTTTGAGAGTGCGGAAAAACACACTCAAAAATCCGTGTGTGCGCGGAAGGTGATTCGTGTGTTAGACGATCCACGCATGCATAGATAACAATGTGTACGTACTTTCTAAAGAACTGTACACGAAAAAAAAAATTGATTTTGGATTGATGGATGGATGGACTTGTAACTTTGTCTTCGAGCAGGCATCATTCACATGATGTTGAAGGTAGGATCTCGGCCACCGAATGGGCACTATCAAATTTAAGCACAAGTAAATGCTGCAGGCAGGGCAGATGAGTTCAGTCCAGTGTTTACCTAACATCTGCCTGAAAGCAGTGGGAGTGTAAATGTGAGCGATGGCCACCTAAAAACAATTAATCACATACATTTGCGAATGGTGGCTGTTTAGAGATCAATGAAAGCTGCTCAGATGCAAGACTGGATTAGACTCTAGGATTTTAACAAGGGAGTAGCCCCTAAAAGAACTGTGCTTCTGAACACCAAATCTGCAGATGCCCTTATTTCAGGGCATTACAGTATATTCCCAGGGACGACTGGAATCAGTTGAACTGATTTCAGTACATGTATTTGTTTTCTTTCCCTCAGCTTTGGAGAATGCAGATTCTGACATCGGCGTATGTGGCCGGTTGTTGGTCGTGCTCTCCATCATCTTCATGCTGGTTACTCTCCCCCTCTCCATCTGGGCATGCATTAAGGTCAGCTGCTGGTAAAATCCACACTCTATTCTCCAAGCTGGTATAGTAGAGTAAACTTCTACGGTTGTTTATTTCGTGCTTTGTAAATTTGTACTGCACACTAATCCTTGATGTTACGTGTATTTATTTAACAGCCTTTAGAAACAGGTGAACCATTATTTGACATTAATTAAGAGGTGTCCTCAGTCAGCATTGTAATTGCTCATAAGAGAAAGAAAAGGCTCATATACAAGCCATCTGTGGGGTTCTCTTTGTTCACAGATTGTGAAGGAGTATGAGCGAGCCATTATTTTTCGCCTAGGCCGCATTTTACGAGGAGGAGCCAAAGGACCAGGTTAGAAACTGGCTCTTATTTATTTATTTTTACTTCATGCACTTCTTAAGTTTTTTTTATTGAATTGTATTTCAAGCATGTTTCCAGTGTGTTTATAAAGTACTCTTTAAAGGCTCAGGTACTAAAATATATTTTGTTTCACAAGTTCAGGTTTAGGTTCTCTGTTTTTCTTTAGTTTCTTCTAAATGCAGACTTGCGTTGTTTTCTCCTAAAGCCTATAAATTTGAGGCTTGTGCTTTTTTTAATAGAGTGGATTACTGTGTCACATTTGAAGCACATATGGCTTTATGCTGGTAAGAATTCTGTGTGTAAATACAGCTCTAGAAGTGTTTAAGGAGCATTTCTCTGATGTTGAACCAAGTGGCAGCCTCTGAGGCTGACAAGTGAAGCCAGTGTGAAATGCCAAAACCTGCAGTTCCTGGAAAGGCCACTTGAGGCTGGCTCCAACAGGGAGCTAATCTCCATAGACTCCCATGTTTAACTGCCCAACTTCAGGAAACCAGTGGATGACGTCACGGTGGGTTTGTTTAGCTTTTATATACAGTCAGTGGATTGAACTAATCCAGCCTCCCAAAACAGGAAAGAAGGAGGGATGGACAAGTGGTGCTGTTGTAAACAAAGCACTGGACTGTCATTATCCGTTCTGGCCTGGGATGTTGTGCCTCTGCTGCAAATAGTACAAGGCCACATGACCAGCTCTTCTTGCTGGCCTTTCTTCATCTCTAATGTGGTCAATTCAATCAGAGTCCTGATTGATGCTGTGTTTTTCCAGCAGGCTTAATGGCTTAGGTTGTTATGGCAACTCAGAGGTTCAGGGCGCCAGAGATGTCTACAGTATTTGTACAGTGACAAATGATTGGTTCAATTGGCACTGTACTGCAGCACATTTAGTCTAAAACAAAACAGTGACACTGAACTTAAAGTGCTGACTAACGGCTCATAATTAAAGGTGTTTATATCCACATTAAACAAACAGTGCAGGAATTGCAGCTGTGTTTATACACATCCTCCCTCTGTTAGGGGACCATTGTCAGACAGATCATTCTAAATGTCTTCAGCTTGGTCTTCAGCGGGAAACAACATCAACTAATTACCAGTTAGGTTTTGGACAAATTAAAAATTGGACCTCATGATGCTGCTTGATGAGAAGTCAAAAGATCAGCAAACCTGCTACAGTAAAAGTCAGAGCACCGTCAAAGTCACTAAGATTCATCCTCTGTGGACCATCAACATCTGTACAAAACTCTGTGGCAGTATTACACAGCATGACAAAGGTCAAATGAGTAGTAGAAATGGGAAATGGAAAATATGTAGGCCTAATAATAACAAGAAGAAGATGGATCAAAATTCAAGTAGCATGTTACCTCATGCAGTTCAGACAGCTGATACTTGGTATTCTAATGTAGTATCTATTTTTATTTACAAATTGAATGTGCTGAAGCACGGGGCTGTTTAAATACTTAACATGTAGACTGTAGATGACCACAGTGTACACAAGTTCACTGAGACTACGTTGACTGTCTGGGTTCCTGGTCCCCAGAGGAACATGTCTGGCAGCACTGCTGCGTGCGCCTGAGGTCTGAATACCTTTGTCGTCCTGTTCTGTCATGTAGCTTCTGTTTTGAAAGGCAGTGTATTTGGTTAAATACAAATACAGGCTCCAACAAGAGATTATTTGCATATATCTCTTAACTTCACTGCCTCTTTATCGTTGATATTTGTTTTTACTGGATAAAAAAACCAACCAGTGTCCTCTCTGAATGCTGAAACATGACTCCTGAGAGAGCCAGGGGACGACCCTGCTTATGATGGCACAGGATAATAATAGCTGTCTGCCTTTAAGCCTCATGTTCCCAGGGAGCTGCAGCCAAAGTTGAATTCTGAATTTGGTTTCCCATAATGCCCCTTACTCTCACACCCGTAACCTGGATTGATCAAATCATATCTCATGTCATAAAATGAAAACTGTGTTCTGTGGAGCATTTTGTCTATACACTTTTCTTCTGCCATGAACAGAGATAATTATTATCAGAACTGTCGTGGGTAAAATCAATGCACTGAAAATCACTGCAGTGCCAAGAATCATTTGTTGAACAACATTATTGAAATATGATTGAGAGGGTGGAATACAGGACCACCTTGTCAGTCTCAGTCTCTCAGGCAGAGGCGGTCAGGCAGTCGGCTGCAGGTCTGCAATTCTTCCAAGGTCTTCATGCACACCCACCGGATCAACTCTATTGCTAACTTTATTCCAGTTTTTCACTTCCTGTTATTCCCCCTCTGGCATCAGCCCCTATTCTTGTGTCTCTTTTTTGGGGAACTTCCTGTAAGATGTACTAAACAACAGGAAGCCTGGCACCAGAACCCCTCTCAGAGAGCAGTATAAAAGAACAAAAGGTTTTTCAACTCACACTGCTATATTTTGTTCCATACTACATTATGCATTGGCTATTAACTGTATTCTGTTTGCTTTAACCACTACAGAACTAAGCTTTTTTTTTTTTTTTAAATGGTGCTTATCACTGGACTTTTCCTCTGCGTCACAAGAGGGTTTACAGAGAGCAGCTGTGGCCTTGCTGTTTGTTTGACAGGAAATAAATGGTTGAGCAATGCTGGAAATGTCATGTGCATGAGGGGAGTGTGGTTGTCTTCATGGCCCCTGAACAGACTGCTGTGATCTTACCATTTAAATGCACAATATTCTGAAAGGAAATGCAGCCCACAAGTCTGCAACTGCGGTGGCATTGTTTGCTAAATGATTGCATACCTACCATGTCTGTTTCACTTAGGCAGTGTTTCATGCACTAATTCAATCATTGTGACTTGAAACAGACTCATGAAAGCTGCAAATATTTACAGCTTTGCCTCGCTGTCAGCACAGCTGCAGTCTTATAAAGGGAGTTTGACTTGTCTTTCTGCCAGAATTTCATTCATCCTGGTGATTTGTGAAGAAGGTTCCTCATTATTGTGTTTACAGTGGCTTTAGTCTTTGTTAAAACTGTTTGCATCTTTGTGATTCCACAGGGTTGTTCTTCATCTTGCCGTGCACTGACAGCTTTATTAATGTGGACATGCGCACCATCACCTTTGACATCCCACCACAAGAGGTATGGCGTGTGTACTTCGAATTACATTAAACAAATACTTTTATCATTTTCCCAGAATTTCAAAGGACATCAAAGTAATTGTGCCGATTCTTGATGCAGCCCACCAGCAGTGCACTGATTTAAACACGTCTGTGAAACATTTTTCCAAACATCCAACAATTTCCTTTTGTTACTTCCTCATGTATCTGTTCAATCACTGTTCTGCTCTTAGGTTTTGACTAAAGACTCCGTGACAGTGAGTGTGGATGGTGTGGTGTACTACCGAGTCCAGAATGCTATACTGGCTGTGGCTAACATCACTAATGCCGATGCTGCTACCCGGCTCTTGGCCCAGACCACCCTGAGGAACGTCTTGGGCACCAAGAACCTGGCAGAGATCCTGTCTGACCGTGAAGAAATCGCTCACAGCATGCAGGTAGTGATTTTTTTTTATGATTGGTTCACTTGTTATTTGGTGTGCTTCAGGTCCAGAGTGGGCTGGAACCTGTTCAGCACTGGGTGGAGTGGATATGGTTGGATGTGGTATGGGCACTTAAGCTTGTGCCATTCAACCACCTCTCTGCCTCTTTTCACCTAAATGAAAACAGGGCAAGTTTATTATATCCAATCAAGACACTCATTCATTTATTAGCAACCAGACAATAAAAACATTAAAACAAGAATTGGGTAAGCATGGCGTATAATGGTGGATAATACCCAGGGGGGATAGGGGTGTGGGGTGGCCTTGGGAGGGCCTGGACCTTGTGCCTTGCGACATCTTACCTTGATGTTCCACCACGGTGTGGGCAGGGATCAGCTTGCGCTATTCTCATGATGAGATCCGGGGTGGCCTTAGAAAATGGTTTTTTAGTAACCACTATTATTATTATTGTATTTGTTTCTAATATCATTATAACTGTTATACATCTGAAGGGCGTTTTGTATTCATTTATATACTCCCTCCCCAGACGCACTTGCACACACATGAACAGATATACATACACACACACACACACGCACATGCGTACACACACAGAGGAATTAGCAGAATTGATTTGTCAGCATCTTCCTCTTCTTTCTCTCAGCTTATGTTTGTTGTTGGTTTTTTTAGTGGTTGTTTGTTTACCCTGGTGTCTTTTGTTCAACACTTGTTAATGATGTCACTTTCTTTATGTGCAAATAAAATGTAAATAAAGCATGCAGGTATAGTAGCTCCTGAACACGCTGTTGTCTTGCAATTGTAATTTTGTGATTCAAAATATGCTCATACTAATTATACACTTGCCATGTAAGGATTGTTACTTTTTTTCTTTTAATGCATCTATCAGGTCTTGGATTTGATGCAGCCCTTGGAGATTTGACTTTGTATCAACCTTGTTTCACTATTCTATATCCCCTTTATGTATTTTGCTGATTTTCATCCAGTCAACATTTCTGAGGATAACTGCTGTGAGCTGTATTGATGTTTAAGAAAAACAGATTAAAGCTGTACCAACATATTTTAGCATTAAAGTTACACCGAATTTCTTTTCGGCCACTAGAGGGTCTAGTGAGATTCAAAACTAACTTACACCAGAAGCCATTCTTTACTGCTCTTTGCCCTGCTCTTTGTTTTCTGAAGCAACAGCATGAGTTATGACTCCCAGGTTGGGAGCTTGAATTGCTTCCAAATTAAAATCCTATTAATTCACTACAAATGTAAAATCATGCCCATACTACGTCATTAATGTTGCCAAAAGAACCGCTTTAGCTTTAGATGCTAATACACCCAGAAGGAAGGACATCACATCTGAATCAAGTTTGAGTCTTGGGCGGCTTTTAACACAATCCAACTCAAAAAGCCAAACTGATGTTAACCCTGGTTTTTGCTCTGCCTTTGTCCCTCTTTCTCTGTGCGGTGCTTGGCTTTTTAGCAGGCACATGCAGAGCTGCTGCAAATATTAAATGCTTATAGTATATTAAGACTATCAGACAATGTATACTGTCTCCTGACTTATCTTGGTAAATCTTTGTCTCTTACCTGACTGGATATGATGCTGTGGTGTCAATCTATCTGCATCTCTGAGTCATTATGTCAACATGCTGACATACGGTAGCTGTGGTTGTTAGAAAAGGAGAATGTGGAGAGTGCTTTCCAGGGACCAGATATGATGATGTCATTTTCGGCTTTTTTCCATTAGGGGTCGCAACAGCAAATCGTCACACTGATGATTCGTGTGTTGACATTTGGTATGTGTTTTACGCTGGATCCCCTTCCTGATGTAACCCTGACTTGAACCCGGGCCGCAGCGGTGAGAGCTCTGCGCCCTAAACACTAGTCTATCAGGGAACTTCAGTGGTTCAGATATGAGGTTTTAAAAATTCACACTCAAGTATTTTGCAGCAGTAAATGTAAACAGTTATAACGCTAACAAGACAAAGTGACTTGGGCCATCTTGCTAAAAACCAGGTTTGCCATCTGCAACTGCCACCTGAACTGTGTCAGCATCAGTGTTGATGACAAACTGCTGTTAAATGTGTATCAGCTGCAAACAAAGGCAACCCCATGTGTACCGCTTAGAGTACAGCTCAATTATTGATTTATTCACTAAAGTTTAACCTTGAGTTTATGCTACGCTGCTGTAACTGAGTGTGTTTACTTCTCTTGCTCACACAGAATGTTTCTTAGTCACCTGTAGGCAGTCTGATAATGTGATATGTACTCAGGTGTTCAGTACTGGGTAAAAACGCTTGAGAGGCAAGGTAGTTTTAGTCCTGTTTTGTCTCTTCACTCTCTTGTGATAAATTTACACTTTTGCTGCTGTTTTACATTCTTCTTCACCAGCTCTGTTAGACAATGGATCAATGGAACCTTCCAGCTTTCATTATTGTAAAAGTGAAGAAACATTCTTGGGGTGTCTGAGATCACATTTTACATTAATATGTAGAACGTTGCAGACACTGTTTATGTCTCCTTTATGTCAAGTGGGTTCTCTCTATATTAGCAAATGCAATAGAAAACCAGTGTCCTCCCCCTGTGTTGTGTAGGAGGAGTTTGAAAATGATAAAACTGTGCATTGCCGCCATCATCTGGCTTAGAGCACGGTTGAACTAGAAGGCCATTAGGACGTCAACACTTGTTTGTTTCAGTCACAACAGTTGCACTTCCTGCTGCTGCTGCGGTAAAACACCTTGATTTGGTTGCTTAAACACCAGTACAGCACAGTCTGGGTTTACCAACAGTGATTCCTGCATTGAAAGCCTATTTGGTAGTTACTGACAGCATGAATGTAAACATAATGGAATTTCCATTTCCAGACATATGCAAGAAGGGTGCATCCTGGGACGTTTTGTTGTTGTTGTTGTTGTTGTTGTTGTCACTGTGGAAGGCTTTGTCTGATTTGATAAAAAAAAAAAATTCAATTAATCAATTGGCATGTTGCTAGTTTCAGCCCAGTGCTGACAAAATGAGATGTTAAATAGAGAAATGTGATTAAATATGTTGAAAAATGTCTTTCTGTCCCTTCAGTCCACTTTGGACGATGCTACAGATGACTGGGGGATCAAGGTGCAGCGGGTGGAGATCAAAGATGTAAAGCTGCCTCTTCAGCTCCAGAGGGCCATGGCAGCTGAGGCCGAGGCCAGCCGTGAGGCCAGAGCCAAGGTAAGTAGGAGGTCCTCTAAAACTTCGCAGTGGCTTTCCACCAGGGCAGCTCTGGCTTCTCTGATGTGGCTGTTCTTGTTGACCAAAGCTTCCACTTACATGTAGACTGCAGACAATGGCCCTCATTCACCAACTGTTCTTAAGAACAAATTTTTAAAAGCCCACTTACAAAAGATTCTTGCATTTACCAATATTTTCTTATCTGGGATTTGTTCTTGGGTTTTTTCTTAGGACCTTTTTTAAGAACAAGCTAAGATCAAATTTAAGAAAACAGGAAGGTGTTGGTGAATGAGGCCCATTGTTCTATATGTAAACCAGCATATTGGTCTAATCCTACTAAATATTAGTAGTTCTTAGAATATCAAAAAAGAAATCTGATCAGTGATTGAAACTGGTTAAAAAGGAATTGAAAGGATTGAACAAGAAATTCATCACAAGTCAGTAAAACGAGTTTTGCTGAAGTTCATAACAAGGACAGATCTTAGCGAGTTTCTCTGAGTGGGCTGTGACACCCAGGCCCTGTGTCTGGTTCACTCACTTCTCTGTCCTCCTGTTCCAGGTGATAGCAGCAGAGGGCGAGATGAACGCCTCACGGGCACTGAAGGAGGCTTCCCTGGTGATTTCCGAGTCTCCGTCAGGCCTGCAGCTGCGCTACCTTCAGACCCTCAATACCATCGCTGCTGAGAAGAACTCGACCATCATTTTCCCGTTGCCCCTGGAGATGATGCAGGGCTTCATTAAAAAATGAGTGTCCAGACACACTGTTCATGTACCTGCTCATACAGCATACATCATTTACACACACATATTAAACCTTTCTCTTTGAATCAGCAGTGCGAAGGCAATAACTTAAGATGTTGTGCTTGTGGCTCATGATACTCAAACCGGAGCAGCTGTTAAAATGCATTTGTTTTGTCTGCCATCTTTTGAGTTTGAAAACCAGAAAAACTATACTACTAATAGACATTTTGTTCCAAAAATATTCTTTTAAATTGTTCAAACAGCTTAAACACATGGGCCAAAGTTTAAAAAAAATGAAATGTACATTAGGTCAAATTTGTTTCTATCCCTGTACACTGATCTGTTTAACTAAGCAGCCAGCCAGAACACTCTCTGCTCATTCAGTGTGTTCAGTCAACTGAACGACCGCTGATGAGGACTAACCAGAGCCAGTGGAGCCAGACGCACAGCAAAATCTACTGTTAGACCGGTGGGTCCGCCAAGGGCTGACCAAAGCAGGTGCTTGCTGTTCACTACTTAGATTTTGTACTGTGAATGACACTTGACTCAAAACAACTGTAGTGCAGCTTTAATGCTCCCTGACTGTCAGAGTAGTGGCAGGAAGAACCAACCATTGTCATCAGCTTTACACATAGTTAAAAAAAAATAAAAGGTACCTATTGTTGTAACCTTAGACCAGTGCGTACACACGTACACATGTACAAAAACATTAGTGGTCTGACTGGTCTGCAGCTACTCAGCCTCACACAAAGCAGGGTGTGTGTGTGTGTGTGTGTGTAGTCTGTCACATAACCAACACTTTAAAGTTCTCTGTGACTTGCGGCAACTTGTGTCACCGTGGAGCCTTTGTGTCAGGTCTCAACCTGAGAGACTTTGACTGAACTGACTGTTCACTTACTAATATAACTCCGACCTGTGGAACTCATCTTTCTTTCATTAGGAGAGTGAAACATTTTTGCCATTTTACAACACTGAGGTGTAACTATGAGGCATAAACTGATTTGAAATTAGAAAGGTATGAGATAGATCCATGCGAAAGCTGCATTGAACTAGAGGTATGGTGTAGTGTATCAGAGACTAACCAGCACCAGAGGTACACAGCAGCCTTAAAATAACCCCTTCAGAAAGTAGGGATCAGCCATTTGACAGGACCACAGACATACTTCTTCTCTCGTTGCCAATGGCGTTGTCTCAGATTGCAAGCTAAAATGTGACTGAGATCTGCCAGTTGTCATTGTTACTGGTCATGTGTCACTTTCCTATGTTTATAGTGTGCTTTCCATTCATAAACATTTTATGTAACATTTAGGGTGATGGACAAAATATTAGGAACACTTCAAAGTAACAAAGTTTACTCAGCGTCCCTCCTATACAGTAAGTAAGTGAACATGATCAGCTACACAGTGTGTTGCAGGTCTGTCAGCTTTTCCTCTTATTGTGTCCACCACCCGTCTGGCTTCATCATCGGCTAATGGACTGTTAGAAAGAATCCAGTCACAGATGTTTTAGCCAAAAGCCTTAACTTACTGCCATCAGCTAATTCTATGCACTTCCAAATTAAAATCCCTGAAGGGCTTTATTTACTTGTATGTTTAAACAGCAGTTTTTAATCACATGTTCTTTTTGTGTGTACCACTAGGCAAATAGTTAAACATCATAATTATCTATCATCAAACTGACATTGTTGTTATAGATATGTTGTTGTTATAGTGTTCTTCCCTTTGAGGAATAAGGGCACAAGTCACAGTATCTAGTATATGTCTTAGTAGTGTTTCTCTCTCTCTCCATCTCCACAAACTGAGCTCAACAAATATATACACACTTTTTATTATGGTATTGTTGTGACTAATTGGAGGGTTTAGGTTTGTCACACCTGAACCCAGATTTTTTTGTGGAACTATAGATTTTTTTCCCCTTCTGTTTTATGGAATACAAACCCTGGTGTGTGTTTTTGTTTGTTTGTTTGTTTTTTACTGCAGTTATGTCTGTATGTTTGAATATTGCTGCAATAGTGTTATTGTGCTGCAGCTGCATAATAATTAATCTGATTGCAGGAGCCATTTAGAGTACACGTAGACCTTCTCTAAGAGTTTGAACTGCTGCAGGCCACTAAATGACTTCTCTGGTTATGCTCATTAAAGTCAGGGAGTTCTTTAGTTTAATATTTTTAGTTTTTTTTTCAGGATTTATGATTGTTAGTTTTTGCAACAACCTATTTTTTCTACAGTTTGCTAATATTTGAATTTGTTTTATTTTGACATATTTATGTATGAGGCCTTTGGGTAAATGTACTATCAAAATAAAAAATTCATTTCAGAGGCGTGTTTGTAAAAGTAGAGACAGCACTCTTTAATTTGGTTCATTTAGGTTTATTGAAATATGGCTTAGAGAATCCTCGGTGTTACAGAAGCCGTGACTATGTAAAGCGGCAAAGCGTGGGTTTCTCGTGAAAATTTGGCCACTGCAACATCACCCAAGCTTCCTAGGTAAGAATCTAACATATTTTTAAAAAATAAATATGTGACATCTAAACTAAAGGTACAAACAACTCATTTTAAACTAGAACAGTACCTTTAAAAAGGTTCAGAATTGAAATGGGTTCACTGTAAACTAGAGGAAAGATTAAGGCATCAGTTTTATTGCTTCTAATAAGCGGTCTGGTCTTGGCAGTTCTCCAGTGTTGCATCACCCCAAGGCTTTAAACTGTCTTACTGTATGTTTGATGTCATTACATTTCACTAGTGAACATGTTTTATTGTCAAAATAAAAAATAGACAAATTGCATTTCAGTAAAAGTCATAGTAGTAGACTTGTGCAAAACCCTGTAGGAAGCCTGTGTATCTGTCAAAGCTCTGCTGTTATTGGTTGGATTCATAACGGATATAAAGGCATCACTGTAGTATGTGAGACAAAGCGAATTAAAACACTGCTTTGTCGACCTCTATCCCTTGGAAACCAACAAAATGTAAAAAAGAAATCTCTCATTTTCAGGGTGTGTTGCCAGCTGTTAAAGTCTTTATGATTGTAGCTCGTTGCTTGCGGTGGAGCAGCGGGGTTGGGCCTTAGGGGAGGGGGGGGCTCAGGTGAGAGCTCACGCAGCCAGTTCAGCCATAACGCGGTCCAGAGGGTCAGTGGTCCAGTAGTCGTGGTCCCAGCCCAGGAACCAGCCAGTGAAGGTGGGAGGCTCGAAGCCCTGCTTGATCTTCACTATGGGCGTCCGTCGGTCTCTGTTGGCTGGGTCTGTCTCGATGTAACGGACCGCTGAGGGGAGAAAGGTCGGTTTACTGACAGCTGTGTCTCAGAGTAAAGCTGAAGCATGTAATAAAATATTTCTGAGTATTAAAAACACGAGGTAAATTTGTATTACTTCATAATATTCTTTAAACGAGTTTTTTTTTTTAAATCAACTAGATTCAGTTCTAAATACAAGATTACTTTGCTGCCTTACTGTAGATGCAGTATGTAATGACAACTTGGTCTTTAATAGAATCAACAAATGGAAAAAACGTGCAGTGTCACCTGAGTTAAAAGTGTACCTGTCAACTCGAGCTAAAAAATTGATTCTATATGTTAAGAAAACTAAAGATTAGTTGCCTTGAAAGTTTTAATAATCTAATGCACATGGTGCTTGACAGAATCAATTTAACTCTTATTTTAAAAAAGTAATCATCCTAAAATTTTTATGACAATTTGTAGTACATCCATCCATCCATCCATTTTCCTCCGCTTATCCGGGACCGGGTCGGGGGGGCAGCAGTCTAAGCAAAGATGCCCAGACTTCCCTCTCTCCAGACACTTCCTCCAGCTCCTCCGGGGGAATACATAGG